TGAATCATAGTAACACACGCATTTTCTTATCAGTAACAGAAATGGCGTTATGACAAAAGAAGACAGTAATTAAATAGATTACTCATTACTGGAAAAGCTAACTTCCATTGATTACACCATTATTCCCATCACATTGGGTTCCAGTTGTGAAATAAACATAAACTAAATGCTAAATGAATAAACATAAACATAAATCACAAGCCATTTAACAGACCAGTTAGACAGCTTTTCATGATGTAAAAATTATCAACCAGAACACAGTCTTTGTAAGGAATATTACATTTCTAGTGGTTTTGACCATGTACAGAAGGGAAAGAGATGGTTTATTATGGTGTTTGCAGAGTATTGGGCTCTTGAGTAGAGTATGATAAGTAATGATTCGTTAGTTACATCTTACGTAAGGAACCATCAAATGTCACATTCCATAGAAAATATGAAATCAATTTGATGGATCTTTGAATATTACTTTAATCAGAAGTTCTGAACTTTTTATTGCAGGGATTAGGTAACAATTCATATTAACCCAGAGTCAAAAGAAAGAGAGAGACACGTTTTAAAGTTAAGAAGATTTATTTTTAAACAATTTAAAACAAGGCTAACTAACTCTAAGCACTCTGTGTGATGAATGGATCTAGGTGTGAATGAGGCAAGATGGATGGTGTAATGTGGAATGTTGTTATCAGAACTCTCCTTTTCGGAGAAGCGTTAGTTCTGTGTGGGAGCAAATGGTTTGCTCTAAACTACAGTCAGAGTTAAAAAAAAACACATTCAGACGCTATCTTGCCACTCTACAAACCCTTGGTGGAGACCTCCATTGTAGATCCAGAATGCCAGGTCCTCGGATCCCCCTTTGGTACCGGAGTCGATGAAACAGCGTACGGTACGGCAGACTAGTCTTGGAATGCCTCTAGGTAAGCGACAGGTGTTTGACAGCATCGGCGGGACCCTGAAGGGTCAGTGAGTTCAGCTTTTACTCTGAAGGAGCGTTGCATTCAGGTGTAGCTTGCAACAGGTTTTATTATCCAGCTTTTCAAGGTTCTTTGTGGTTAAAAAGTTACAAGTGGCCAGCTCAAAACTCTAGAACGTTTGAACTAATTTAAGGGTGACATGGTAGTTAGTTTTATAATCCAGATGTTTTGATTCATGGTCGAATCAGGATTTGACAACAAAAGGGGATGGTATAAACACCACGCAGAGCCACGCCACGTGTCAGAACGAAAGCTCTGATTGGATGAGAAACAGGAAATGTGTCATGTGATTTTAGCATTACGTGTGATCAGTCTAGTGTCTAGCTTAAAGTTATATTACTTATTATATACATTCCTAGGATTATAATATCAGGTCACTAATAGTCTCATTTCACAGACTGATTGAACATTAGGCTTCTCATGATTATTTGGACTAACACAGTTATTTGATTATTATTTACAGAAAAAGAGTTCTTGGTCTTCTTTCTTGTGCTGTAGGGGGAGGCAAATAGCTAGTTAAAACCGTTTAGATGAAGAGGCATCAAAGGCCTTGAGCAATATCTCAAGGAGATTAGTTCTTCATGAGGAGAGATGGGAGATGACCTTTAGGTGGAAAACAGTCCCTTCATGACGCTATATACCCCCCTTTTCAAGGGCACGGTGGTCCAAGCAGAGACCACCTGACGTTGAACAACAAGAGTCCTGAAGGACCCCGTCGAGAGATCAAGTTATAATTTCCCAGGCAGAGTGTAATTTCTCAGGTCGCGTGTAATCTCCTTTGAAAGCACGTAAGTCAGCAGTCAGCAGATCATACATATATCCATGTGGAGGGAATAATTTGAAGCAGGAGCAAAACACAGTATATCCACGAGTAGAGAATAATTCCAAACAGTAATTTGATCTTTGTAGTCACACTTAGCGTAATCCAGTAGCAGGAAACCAGCAGACAACGGGTCAGATCCCAGCGAGCGAAGTATCCCAGCAGCCAAAACCGGAATCAATGGATGTCCAGGTCCGACGAGCCGGAACACCAAGCAGCAGTAGCCGAGCTAGTTAAAACAGTTTAGATGCAGAGGCATCAAAGGCCTTTAGCAATATCTCAAGGAAATTAGTTCTTCAAGAGGAGAGAGGGGAGATGACCTTTAAGGTTGGTTTATGCTTGACGCGTCCGCAAGGTCCGCACGGCTCCGCGCGGAAAAGTTGCGTCATTTTGCGTCATTTTAACAACCACGCCCCTCCACCGCGCCTCCGCATGGCCCAGAATTTCCGCGACGTGCACCTCGGAAAATTTCTAACCACGCGGACGGACAGACGGACGGACGCGGAAAAACATGGCGGACCGGCAAGAACTAGTATGGCAGAGGTTCGTAAATACAGACATTTGTATGATTCAGCTCTCAGAGATCACCGTGATCAACATGTTGTTAATAATTCTTGGAGAGAAATAGCTCGCACTGTCGGAAAAGATGAGAACGCTGTTAAAAATGCTGAAATGCCATGTTGTAAATAGTAATTTCTACTTCTACTATGGTGTAGTGTTGGATGCATGCCGTAGAGCTCCATGCTGCCCCGTTCAGTTTGGGAGAATATTGGCTCACCTCAGAGATGAGCCGCACGAACCATAAAAGCTGCGAGTTGTGAAGCGCGTTCCATCCGCGAGCCGCATCACCGCGCGGAAAGTAAATGCGTCAAGCATAAACCAAGCATTAGGTGGAAAACAGTCCCTTTAGCTCCTTTAGCGCCCGATCAGCTGATGACAGCTTCAACACACACCTGCTACTGAATCATAGTAACGCACGCATTTTCTTATCAGTAACAGAAATGGTGGTATGACAAAAGAAGACAGTAATTAAATAGATTACTTATTACTGGAAAAAACTAACTTCCATTGGTTACACCATTATTCCCATCACATTGTGCTCCAGTTGTGAAATAAATCACAAGCCATTTAACAGACCAGTTAGATAGCTTTTTATGATGTAAAAAATAATCAACCAGAACACAGTCTTTGTAAGGAATATTAAGTTTCTAGTGGTTTTGACCACGTACAGAAGGGAAAGAGATGGTTTATTATTGTGTTTGCAGAGTATTGGGCTCTTGAGTAGAGTATGATATGAGGCCAGCATACGTCTGATCTGATCTGATAAGTACTAAGCACAAAGCGTTCTGACTGCCTTTGCACTGTTAAGGAGTCCCAAATTTTCCTCAATGCTATCATGTTCTAATGGGTTGTGTGTGAAAGGAGAGCATACCATATTCCAGTGGCGGGCGGTGCATTCCACCCCTGGGCCTTCAGTGCTATTCAGTCCAATCTAAATTAACACACCTTAAAATACCATCAATAGGACATCACAGCTGGAGAAACCTCTCTCTCTCACACACACACACACACACACACACACACACACACACACACACACACACACACACACACACACACACACACACACACACACACACACACACACACACACACACACACACACACACACACACACACACACACACACACACACACACACACACACACACACACACACCAGTGGCTGGGCAAGACGTCATTTCCGGAGCCTTTAAAATCAAACTCGCATTCCCAATTGAGAGTAGGAAGCTAAGACCACGGATACTGTCAAATCTCAAAAATGAAAGACGGGTTTAAGAGATGAGACAATAAAATAAATAAGTAAAGCAAACACATTATTTGCATTTGTTTTGGAGAAAATTGCACCGCGAAACAATTGAACATGTTGGCGCAGCTGCACACACCACGTTATACACAATATAAATTGCATAGAAACAGAACACAGAATAATTTCATTTAGACATTTTATTTCGTTACAATTTATTATTAACAAAATGAAATGACAAAACATTAAAAAATACTTTCTACTCACCAACATAAATGTCCAGCATGGATCTCCTCCTCTCCTGCTCATTAGAAAATAAAATCCATCCTTCTTTCTTTCCTCAGGAAAACTTCAATGGCTCTGTACAGTTCATCTGTGCACTTCAGGTCCATGAGTGGATCCTTTTCTACGGACATGGAGGCTAATGCTGAAAGACGTGTCTGTCGGGTCGTGTTTCTGGCGTACATTTTAACGCGCTTTAATGCTACCAAATCCATCTGATGGGAGCAACAGGCATTCCCAGCAGAATAACCTGCAGCGGTTCTCTGAAGCTGTTTGCCATGGGTACCGTTCATAGTTGCTTGCCTGAAAATGACGAACAAATCCTTTCCCCTGCTGGGACAAGCCAGCTAGCATTGAAGTCGGACGACCTGTTCTCACAAGATCCATTTTTTCTTGAAAGGTCCGTCTTGAAAATGGTGTGGCAAGTAAATCTGCAACCAAGTCTGTCTCTTCTCCTCTTTCAGCCATCATGTGTTCAAAAATACACCGATAGCTGCCTATAGATACAAATCTCTGTGTTTAGTTTTGATATTTTGCTTCATGCCGCTAGAAAAGTTCTAACTACTGCTTATCCAATCACAGGATGCGTTCATGTCAACTTTTGCGTGAGGCCAGCTAGCTGGCCTGGGCCACGCTGACTCGTGAGCTGATTGGCTATCGCAACTGGCTCGTCTCTGTTCACTTACAGCGGACAGTGGGCTTCTCGATTGATTCTGAAGGCCTAGAGAAGACTTAATCTGCCTGAAAATACAAGCTAGCTTAAATCTGATTGGATAACACCCAGCCTTGGTATTTTAACACTGGAAGCAGCGCAGCCAAGTGGGTATAATAGGATATAAAGAAAATAGACCAGTGAACATTTTTTTTTATTTAAAAATATTTACCAAGGGAAAAAAAATACATTTACGTTTTTGAGTACGTTTAGGTCAGCAGAGAAGGCTTTGCTGGCCCTGACTGCCCACCACTGCCATATTCTAAATCCAGTGTGAAGAGGCCCCCTAGTGTGGGCTGGGGGCCAAACAATTAAAGAGAAATGATGGACAAAGAAGTTGCAAAAAAGGTTTTTTATAAACACTCATAGAACACTCTTTATTAAGGTTCTTGTTGTCAACTGCTTCAAGATAATTTTGTATCTGCCTTCATCACCAGAGAGCTGATGTTCCAACCAGCTGCTCAGACTTGTGAAACCCAGAAGACTGATGAGCAAGAAATGTTTGTGTGACTGGGAGATTGACAGCGAGTTGTAGTGTGATAGTGAGCACTGAACTCACCCATCCAAACGAGAACAATCTGGACAGAGAATGGAGAAAACTCGAAAGGAAGAGAAGAGTGGGAGGGAGCGTAGGAGCACCGTGGGATCAGGGCATTAAAGCTCCAGTCAAAGAGGAGAAGGATTGACAGGAGGAGGAGAAGAAAGTCTAAGACACCTGTGGTGGAAGCACTCAGCTCACTGTTTAGTTGGGGTGGGGGTGTCTGAGGGGTGAAGTGACTTACTGGAGAGCTCAGTGTTTGAGCGTACCAGACCAGACCATGCTGGGCCTGCACTGCGGTGAACAGCCGCACTGTAATAACTCAGGGACTGGGGGGCTGAAAGACGATAGCCTGGCAGGAATTGGTTTACAGCCAAAGAAGCCAACACTTGTGGATGCTGACTTCCCTTTTAGACAGAGACAAACCTAAAGCAGTGGGTGTAAAAGCAGCCTTCCTGTCTATGATGACATAGGTGTACAGACCTGTATCAGGTCAGCCAATGGAAACTAGATGAAGGAAGAGGACACGGTGGTGAAGGCTGGCTAGAAGGGTTCTCAAAGCTGATGAGAGTGATGGGTGGTATGGAAGTGGCCTTTTAACAGTTGGTTCTACCAGGTGTTTTGCAGAAAGAAAAGGTCTTTCCTCTTTGTGAGAGGATTAAGAAACAGGATACATTCCGCTGGTTTCACACCAGCTGGTGCCCAAGATTCCAGCATGTTTCTGGTTCATTACTGCTGTTTTTGATGTGGTGTTAAATAGCCGTAATAATCGAGACTCTGACAGTAGAAAGTGTTGAGGACTTAGGAGATTACTTAAAAGCCGTTACTACAAAATGTAAATACTTCCATGAAAACATCCTCATAAAAATTTCTCTTTCAATTCAATTCAATTCAATTCAAGTTTATTTATATAGCGCCAAATCACAAGAGTCGTCTCAAGGCACTTCACACAGTAAACATTCCAAAACAGTTCAGTTCATAAAGCCAATCAGTAAAAGTTTCCTATATAAGGAACCCAGCAGATTGCATCAAGTCACTGACTGTTATCAGTGACTTGATGCAATCCTCATATTAAGCAAGCAAGTAGCGACAGTGGAGAGGAAAACTCCCTTTTAACAGGAAGAAACCTCCAGAGGATCCTGGTTCAGTGTAAGCAGACATCCACCACAACTCACTGGGGATCGAGAAGACAGAGCAGACGCACGTACACACCAACACACACACACACACACACACACACACACACACACACACACACACACACACACACACACACACACACACACACACACACACACACACAACGCGTGATGTTTCCATGGCTACATTGTGATTTCTTAGTAAAGATTCTATTTGGTGAGAGATAAACTTTATTGTATTTATCCTAGTGAATCTATAATTAAACGGGAAAACTAGTAGTAGCACATTCAATGTCAAAGAAAGTAAAATGTTATTATCAGGAGAATGAGAATGTTTACGTGATTTGCAGCAGTGTGCTAGACGATGGCCCCCTCCATGAGAGCACCACAGCTCAGCAGAACGTCATTGTAGCTTCTTCTGGGGAGAAAAACACTTAGAGAAAAATAAAGTTAACAGCTGAAATAGCAGGAAATAATACAGTTAAAGAGCAAATTGTAGAAGAAAGTAGTCAAGTGTGGAAAGTGGTCAGTATGTCCTCCAGCAGTCTAAGCCTATAGCAGCATAACTACAGAGATAACTCTGGATAATCTAGCCTTTTAGATGGAGGCATGTTGGAGGCAGGGCAAGGGAGAGCCGTCTTTACCGACTGTACACTCCACCTCCCTCTACTCCCCCACTTGTCCAGATAGGCTAACATCAGATTTTAACCATGAGCCCTATAAAATAGGCTCTAGCCAAAAGTTTTGTGTGCTGCCTATTTTCTTAAAATTCATTTTGTGGTATTTCTGAATTTAGGCCAATACTCCGAACCACGGTGCTTGTGTGCTCATAGGTAGCGTCAACTTTCACTGAGTTCTATAACCTTAGAAAAGTTGGATGGGTGGATAGAAGAATGATGGTAAGAAAATTAAACGATAGATGAACAGAGGGATGGCATTGGCTCGGGGGCTTGGAATTAGCACTGCAACTGTAGGGTTGCTGGTTCTAACCCAAGCTCTGTCCGTGCCAGCCCTTGCCTGCTGGTGGTGGTCGGAGGGGGTGGAGGTGCAGTATGGCAACTTTGTCTCTGTCAGTGTGCCCCAGGACACCTGTGGCTACAATGTAGCTCATCACCATCCATGTGTGTGTGTGTGTGTGTGTGTGTGTGTTAATGCCTGCCTGTAGTATAAAGTGCTTTTTAGAGTCCTCTGATTCAAACAGAACAGCTCTATATGAGTGTGTTATCACTATCATTTAAATGTATGCACAACATGTTTTTACTTGACGAACATATGGATGGATTCATGGAAAAATAGATGTATGCATATTTTTTACATTACGTTTGTTTCGTGTTTTTAAACTTTTTTTCATTTTTGATAATTTCACTAAAACACACAAACTCTGTTTTTTACCATAAAACTCAGCCTTTGAGTATTAAATGCCTGTAATTCCAGTTTTTTAGTGTCAAAGAGAATATGTGCATTTTATATCACCCTAACTTTTTTAAAGATCAGACAAGTCCAACTGACAGCCAACATATTTTCTTCTTACCGCATTTGTGCTGCTGCTGGTCCCACTGGATCCCTGTGGGGAAAGCTGTGAGATGTTTTGAGAGCAGTAAGTCAACACTGACTGGTGGCCACAGATGGTCTGCGGTAATGGCTCGTGTTGCTGTTAGTGGTGGGCAGCTAACCCACCCAGGGTAAACAGTCAAACAAACACAGGGGTTACATCAGGGTTGTTTCGGTTACGTCCAGAGATCCTGCTGAATGGAATAACAAGCTGTCAGTTCACTAAGACAAAATGATGTCTCACAGGCTGTGAGTCAGTATCTGCAGCTTTAATCAACTCATCTAGAAATGAGAACAATCATCACTAAAGCAGACAAAGTGCAACACTTTTTCCACTTTGAAGAAAATCTACTTTAAATAGATCAGTAATTTGCATGTTGATATTTGAATGGCAATGTCTCTGCTGCAGATTCCCACAGATGCCCTTGCTTTCTCCGTCTTGGGAGTGTATTAAGGCACCGACTCCCACTGTAACTGGAGGGTGTGGAAGCTACCAGCTAAACACAATGAGCTTGGGCAGAAAACAATAGGCACATACACACATAAGATTTGGTCCAACATATAGCTGGACCTCCCCTCCCCCAACCTTTTTTCTCCCCCTCAGTGATTGATTGCTTTCCTCACTCTCTGGACTTGGCGTGTGCTGTGGCCTCACCGGACTCTCCAGCAGACCACTGGGAACTGGGCGGTTTTTCCTTTCACTGACTTCAAACCTCCAAACAGGTAACATATCCAATTATTTTCCAAGCAAACCACCTACACTTTATTGTGTTGCTTTTTCTTTACTTGCAGATTATTTGAACGGAAAAGGATATTGAACCAGTGCGTTTCCTGTATTTCCTGTTTGAAGAAAGACATGGAAGAGGGATGGAAACAACCCCTGTTGGTAAATACATATAAATATATACATCAACCCTATCAGGACAATGTAAAGAGTAATGTCTGCTTAGTGCCAACGTGCTAGCAGAATATCCAGATGAATGTGGATGAATATGGTTCTCACTTTCAGGGTGGAGGAGTTGTCACAGGAAGTCAGATTGCTATCCACTGGGTGTGCAAGTGTTCTGCAGCTGGAGAGCGGCTGCTCTGGGAAGCCTTATCCTCAGGGAATTAAATGGGATTTAGCACACACACACACACACACACACACACGCACACACACACACACACACACACACACGCACGCACGCACGCACGCACACACGCACGCACGCACGCACACACACACACACACACACACACACAGGGTGAAATGCATGCTCAAACACATGCACAATCACACAAATGCATGCAAAACATCTAAACGTATTAATACAAACTACTTTAATACACTTCAAATGCTCTGGAATTTGGACATAAAGAATAAGTGAAATGTCATCAATTTTATCAGCAGTATTTTGTAGCGGAATATAGTTGGTATATTCTTACACTTTTATTAAGGTTCAGAGATATCACTGATCCAGACCTGAGCTGGATCATTACAGGGAATTTTATTCAAACACCTTGTATTGAATTAGAGACAAGAAGAGAGAGAGAGATGGGACGTTTAAGAATTTTTATTTTATAATTATTTGAAACAATCTCCAGGACTAACTCTCTAATGATGGATGCAGATGAATGTAATGCTGAAGTGTTGGTGTGTGTGTGTCAGTTCAGAATCTCCATCTGGTGGAAGCGAGTCTGAGTGCGAGGTGTTGTTTGCCCTAACTGACCGACGATGGACTTCAGGAGGAAGACATGAGACGCAATCTATGCCGATCTACGTACCGTGCGGAGACTTCCGTGTTAGATCCGGATGCCAGGTCCTTGGACCCTCCTTGTGCTGGAACTGGTGAAACAGCGTCGGCAGCACGACAAACCAGTCTATGGATAGTGTCCCGGTACAACGGCAGGTTTCCAGCGTCACGTAGAGACCCCCCTTATTGGGTCATAGAGTTCAGCTTTTATTCTGAAGGAACCGTCGTCTTGTTGATAATACTCAGCTTAAAAGTAGAAAATACAGCTGGCCAGTCTGTACTTCACTTAGCGATGATGGACATCAGATGGATTTGAGAGCTGGTTGAACTCACGTTGGAACTACGTTGAACCTTGCGGTGGAACTGAATTAAAATGGCGTTTTTCTGTTTTATTAAGCTTAGATGTTTATGATTCTTAGCGAATCGGAGTGGACAGATTAACTAAACACCACAGAACTCTGCCACGCATCAGAGAGGAAGTTCTGATTGGATGAGTGAACAATGTGTCATGTGTTTACCTTATGTGGATCAGGATGTCTAGCTCAATTAGCCCAAGTCCTGTTATTCATTAAACACATAAATCATAACATTGTGATTTCACAGATCGGTCACCTGATTATTATTGACCAACAGTTGTTTTGATTAGCTTTATTAGAAATAAAGTTCTTTGATTAACTAATGAAAAGCATTCTTCGTCCTTCTTCTGTCTTCTTTGCTGGAATGTAAACACCAGAAGCAAGCGCACGACCTTGGCAACTTATGCACACTGTCACTGTGCCAAAGGGCAGCTGTTAAGGGCAGAAATGGCATATTCATAACGCTACAATTTTATCGAGAAGAAAACTAAAAAATAAGTCAAAGGAGCAAAGAAAAGACAAGAAGACATTTGAGCTTGACGTTTGTGAGTAATTATACACAGATTTAAAAAAAATATCAAACCTCTTTTTGTCATGAAACAGCTATTGAATGGTCCGTTTCTTTTTTCTTTTGTTGACCCAAAACACAGTCCTAGTGACTTCAAAGAAGCGAAATAACTTTAAACTACATTTCTGGAGAAAGCTCAATTGATGGGAAGTGAGATGTTTTCAAAAATAAACAAAAGGGTACTTTCGTTTTGATCTACAGAATTAACATGCTTTAGTTGGCTGAGTAACTTTATCAGCATATTGACCAAAAACTAACATCCTAAATAACTAAGGAGTCCATCAGGAAAAGAAGAAAGATTTTAAAAGTTAATTTAACCTAAATATATTTCAAAGATTACAGAGGAAATCAAGCCTGAAGAGCAGCAGAAAAGAAGAATGTAAAAGTTTTGCGAGACAGTCAAGTCACAAGCTTGTAACGGTTATTGAAACTATCAATCATTCACTTTAATTCATTTGATTTAAATCAATTCAATTTTTTCTATTCAATTCAATTTTATTTATACAGCACCAAATCACGACAAGAGTCATCTCAAGGCACTTCACATGGTAAACATTCCAATTCAGGTCAGTTCATTAAAGAGCAAGTCACCCCCAAATAAACATTTTTTTGCTGATAAACTAAATAAACGAGTGTCTAATCGTGCTGCAGACATGTGTCGTCAATAATTTGGAACTTCAGTGCATTTTAGTTAAAATTTTAATTTTCTGCCTAATACTGGCAGTGTTGTGCCGTCGTCAGGTAAAAACTCTGCACTGTATTTTAATTTAAATCTGCCACCGCTATTGGCTAAGAGGTATGCTATGATGTAAACTGGTACATTATGATGTCACAATGCTGTCGTGAGCCTGTGTGTGTGTGTATTTGTTAGCAGCTCCTCCCTCTTTGTCTGCCAGGCAACAGCATTTGTTGCATTTTTCAAACATGAAGTGGGAGTGGAGTTAGACTCTGGTAGGGGGTGACTTGCTCTTTAAGCCAATCAGAAAAAATGTTTCCTATATAAGGAACCCAGCAAACTGCATCAAGTCACTGACTAGTGTCAGTGACTTTACAGCAATCCTCATACTAAGCAACCCCCGGGTTTCCACGGGAGCCGTCAGCAGCATGTTACTGCAGCAGCATGTCTTGCACGCTAAGCTGCTGCTTGGCCCTTCCCACGAGACGCGAAGCAGCAGGGGAGCAGCTGTCAACGACCGAGCACGAAGTCACACGAGTGACTTCGTCAGTAAACACAACAACAAGCAGGAGAAAATTACAACATGCTTCACGTTTTATGATCTGTCCGTTTTATAATCGCCAATACGGACCTGAAAAACAAAGGAGACCGCTAGCTATGTGATAACTTCTCACGGGGCAGCACAGTTAGTAACCTTTTTTAAAAGTAAAGCAACCGGAAGGCAGTACGTTCTTTATTCTGAAAATTTCGGGAGCTTCTCTCCATTTCCGCGTCCGATTTCCTGTCTTTCCTTCCCCAAAAATGTCGAACTTGACCCGTTTCAGAGGCGTCGCTCGTAGAAAATAGAACCGGCGCGTAAGGGCCGCGACATGCTGCTCCTGAGACACGGCCGACTCGCGCTGCTGACGGCTCCAGTGGAAAAGGTTCTGTTGACCACAGCGGTTCCAATCAGCAGCTATGACGTGCTGCTGCAGTAACGTGCTGCTGACGGCTCCTGTGGAAAGCCGGGGTAAGCAACACACACACACACACACACACACACACACACACACACACACACACACACACACACACACACACACACACACACACACACACACACACACACACACACACACACACACCAAGCAATGTGTCTATGGTTACATTGTGATTTCTTAGTAAATATTCTATTTGGTGAGAGATAAACTTTATTGTATTTATCCTAGTGAATCTATTGTTAAACGGGTAAACTAGCAGTAGCACATCCAACGTCAAGGAAAGCAAAAAGTTATTGTCAGGAGAGGGAGAAAGTTTAAGTGGTTAGCAGCAGTGTGCTAGAGGCCCCCCCCCCCCCCCCCCCCCCCACCACCACCACCACCATGAGGCCACCACCATGAGGCCACCACAGAACATCACTGTAGCTTCTTCTGGGGAGAAAAACACTTAGAGAAAAAAATAAAGCTATTAGCTGAAAAAGCTGGAAATAATACAGTTAAAGAGCAGATTGTAGAGGGAAGTAGTAGAGTGTGAAAAGTGGTCAGAGTATCCTCCAGCACTCTAAGCCTATAGCAGCATAACTACAGAGATAACTCTGGATAACCTAGCCTTTTTAGATGGAGGCATGTTGGAGGCAGGGCAAGGGAGAGTCGTCTTTACCGACTGTACACTCAACCTCCCTCTACTCCCCCACTTGTCCAGGTCTAGGCTAACATCAGTTTTTAACCATAGACCCTATCAAATAACAATGTTTTAAGCCTATTCTTAAAAGTAGACAAGGTGTCTGCCTCACGGACTAAGGCTGGGAGCTAGTTCCACAGGAGAGGAACCTGATAACTAAAAGATCTGCCTCCCATCCTAATTTTAGATATTCTGGGAACCACCAGTAAACCTGCAGTCTGAGAGCAAAGTGCTCGGTTAGGAACGTATGGAACAATCAGATCACTGATGTATGATGGAGCTTGATTATTAAGAGCTTTATATGTGAGAAGAAGGATCTTAAAATCTATTCTGAATTTAACAGGTAGCCAATGTAGGGAAGCTAAGACAGGAGAGATATGGTCGCAGGATGCTGAAAAAGCCCTGCATGGTTGTTTTGAGACCACAGATTGGATGAATCTCTGCCAAGGATATGAAGAGGACATCAATGCCATGACTGGATGTGTCACTGACTATATAAACTTCTGTGTGGACAACATCATACCCACCAGAACAGTGAGATGCTTCGCTAATAACAATTCATGGATCAACAGTGAACTGAATAATCAGCTAAATGAGAACAAAAGACCCTTCAAGGAGGGAGACAGGGAATTATTGAGGAGTATACAGAAGCATCTGAAGATCAAGATCAGAGACAGCAAGGAGGCACATAGGAAGAAGGTGGAGAACAAACTACAGAAGAACAATATCAGAGATGTCTGGTCAGGGATGAAGAAGATCACAGGCTTCAAGCAGAGGAAGGAATGCACAGATGGCAGCCTGGACACAGCCAATAAACTGAACAAGTTCTTCAATAGGTTCAGTTCAGGAACAAACCCAGCATCCTCCTTGCCTGTCCCCAGCCAATCAGACATCCCATCCTCCTCTGATCCAACATTTTCCTGTCATACGCCAGCTCTTTTTTCCTCTAACGCAGTCATGGACTATTCTGGTTCTATGAACCTGTCTTCAACCAAGTCAGGAGATGCTGCTGCCCCATTTACCCCCCCCCCCCGCCCCCCTCCCACTTATCTGTCTCTAGAAGTCAGGTGAAGTGGCAGCTGGAGAGACTGAACAGGAACAAGGCTGCAGGTCCAGATGGTGTCAGCCCCAGAGTACTGAAGGCCTGTGCAGAGCAGCTCTGTGGGATTCTGCAGCACCTCTTCAACCTCAGCCTGGCCCAGGAGAAGGTTCCAGTCCTGTGGAAGACATCCTGTCTTGTTCCAGTTCCAAAGAAAACTCGCCCATCAGTCAATGACAACTACAGACTGGTTACCCTGACATCCCACATCATGAAGGTCCTGGAGAGACTCCTGTTTGTCCACCTGAATAAGCAAACTAGGACATATCAGGACCCGCTGCAGTTTGCTTATCGCCATGGAGTTGGAGTTGAATATGCCATCATCCAGCTGCTTTAACCAACCCACTGTCATCTGGACAAAGCAGGCAGCACTGTGAGGGTCATGTTCTTTGATTTCCCCAGTGCATTTAACACGATTCAGCCTGATGTACTTTGCCAGAAACTCCAGAAGACACAGGTGGGGGCCTCAACTATCACCTGGATTAAAGACTACCTGACAAACAGACCACAGTTTGAGGCTGAAGAACTGCATATCAAACCAGACGATCGGTAACATTGGAGCACCACAGGGGACTGTACTCTCACCATTCCTTTTCACCCTGTACACCTCAGACTTCCAGTACAAATCAGAGACCTGTCATCTAAAGAAATACTCAGATGACTCTGCAGTTGTCGGGTGTATCAGAGATGGACAGGAAGCTGAGTATAGAGAGCTAGTGGAGCGCTTTGTGGCATGGTGTGGAAACAATCATCTGACCTTGAACGTGAACAAAACAAAGGAGATGATTTAGACTTCAGAAGAAACAGGGTGGAGTCAAACTCTGTTTCCATCATGGGAGAAGAAGTGGAGGTGGTTGAGGAATATAAATACCTTGGAGTTCACCTGGGCAACAGACTGGACTGGAGAAAGAACAGCGAAGCCGTTTACAAGAAGGGACACAGCATACTGCACTTCATGAGGACGCTTAGGTCCTTCAATGTCTGTAGCAAGATGCTGCAGATCTTCTACAAGTCTGTTGTTGAGAGTGTAATCTCTTCAGCCATCATCTGTTGGGGTAGTAGCATCAGAAGTAGGGACCTCAAAAGGCTCAACAGCCTAATAAAAAAGTCTGATTCTGTTCTGGGGACGACTGTGGAACCACTGGAGGAGATAATGCAAAGAAGGATTCTCCAGAGAATCAAGAAAATTATGGACATCCCTGAGCATTCTCTTCACAAGACTGTCCGACAATGGAAGAGTGTCTTCAGTCAGAAGCTTCTTCAGTTTCGCTGCAACACTGACCGCTACTGGAGATCCTTCCTGCCAACAGCCATAGTAATATACAATAACTCATTGATGACTTGATCATTCTTTTTATTCTGA